ACTGAGTAAATGAACAAAGCAAACGAGTTAATGTCATGTGGACTCACCATATGGATCCAATTGGGCGCTAACTTTTCATACTCCAACAAGGCCCATTCCCGTACAACGAGTAAAGACCACATGTATGCGAATGGGGTGTATGAAAAGTCGGTGTAAAGATTGGAGGACGTTATTATTTCTCTAGAAAAACGAGGTGTTCAGGGTTCGTGAGTGTTGGGTTTGTGATTGTCAATACTCGTTTTCCTCCTTATTCTTTGTTATTGCCCTTCAACGAGTTGATTGTCATCCCGTGGACGGGAGTGGCACCCCATTGGCTGAGTAATCTCTGTGGCGACTATCGCTGCTTAGAGCACAACTAGAGAAAAATATTCCACTATCGAACACATAGCGAGAACGAGTTCACGAAAAGAGCGGCCAGACTGTAGCCTTTCACGTCGGATTCTGAACTCTGTGGTGAGCGATGATGAGATTTAATTCGAAAACTTTATCCCACGTGCATACCCCCGCGTTTCCGTTAACAAAGACGTTGAGTAGCCCACATGGAAGTTGAAAGAGACTTTTTGGACTACATAGATGTTGAAAAGCGTGCACGTCCGCCTTTCCCTCGCGACGATGGTCATTTCTCGCTAAAACTGGAACCGAACGAGAGATTTCAGTTATGTGTGTGTCCCCATACTCAATTCTCCAGAAATCCTTGGCATACCTCATTTTGCTATAACTGTTGTTCTTTCAAGTTTTTTTTCGCATTTTAATCACTTCGATTGGAAGACAATGCAGGGCGTGAGGTTCAACGCCACATGTTCCGCCTTGTCGTTAGCCTTTTTAAGCGTCGTATTGCTAGTTTTCGACATGTTGCTCATGAACTCTTCCTTGTGCTCCAACTTCGATAATTGCGTTGTTGTTATTACGCAGACACTGTCAAGTTGATTCTCCAGTAAACATGATATTGGGTGTGTGGTGGAGGTGGCGCTCACATGTGGAGTAGTTCTATGCGTAGGAAAATGCGGCGGGAAAGATGGTGATGGAAGTTTAGTTGAGATGTCTGTAGTAGGCTGGGAGAGGGGCGATAGGTGACACGTCGCCAATGGTGAGGATGTTATCATACGTATGTCACAACGCTAATGCTTTGGTTGACATCTCAATCACAATTTTTGTAGTTCGCATCATTCAATCAAGTTGGAGGACGTTGTCTAGCGTATTGGTTTTAAGTGCAAGAACTTTGACAACGACATCCCCTATTCCCTCAAGACTCATGCGAGGGGCTACTGGAAGGGTCACTAGTTTTGGTTCGCAACGTGGTTTGAACCGTCGGAGATGGTGACGTAAAATACGGTCTCAAGGTCTTCATCGTTCGACCTTTTGTAATGATGGTTTAGTAAGGTAGTCGACACGAGGTGGTCGAGATGCCTTTGTGTCGATGAAGGGGGAGGTGAGGTTCAAAGGGGGGAATGAGCGTGTTGAATGACACTAACTGGACAATCTTGAGCGTCCTCCTCATAAAACTCAATGCATAGTGTTGTTTAGTTTCTTTGGCTTTGTGTTGCTTTATATTGTACTAAGACCCTTGTCGATTATTTTACGATTTTGATTCTTATTCGTTGATTCGTTTAAAGCTTTCAGTGTCCTAATACGAAATTCCATAACTTTCAAGTTTTAATATCTGGCGTTTTCTTCGAGTTTCACACCTTAGCTCGGTGCTAAGAAGAGTCATAAAAGTTAGGTCTACTTTTGATTCTTAAGTTTACGATTATAAGTTTGTTTTCAACTTTTGATAATTGATCCTAATTTTCAATCGACACTGAATTTATTGTTTAATCTCTTTGTTAATATTTTGATCTTGATAATCGTAAACCATAATTGTATTATGATCTCTAAAAAATATGATTGCCTACCTTGTTTGTTAAAACTTAAAGGTAACGATTTGTATTTTTTTTTTGAATAACGTTTTCGTATTGATGGTTGTAATTCAGAATTTAATCCTTAATTCCTGATTTCAAAATCGATTTCAACTTCGTAGATTTATAAAAAACCTTAATATTCGAATAAATAGGAATTTGCAAACAATCTTGTGGTTACGATGAAAATTTGTAGTTCAATCCTATTGTTTTGCCATTGCCATCTCGAACCTTATTTTGCAAATTCGTGCTCCAGATCATAACTCTCTTACTTTGGATTTTGGCTCTGATAGGGACAAAGAAGTAGAGGTTTCCTGTCCAGATTTAAGGATCTGCTTGAGGCTGGGGGCAAGTGGCACGAAATGATTCTTTCAAAGATTGACAAGAGGCGTTATTCCCTTCCATTTGGAGTATGATTGTTTGAAGAGTACCGCCTGGGGTATCTTTCGTTAGATGCAGTTGGCGTAAGGTAGTTTAGGCAGCCTTGATGGGTACCAACTGAGGAGGGCTAGCTCCAGAGCAATGTTGTTTGGCAACTTTAGATCACCCCCTCGAGGACGAAGACTGAAATCTCTAAGGGGCCAGGAGATTGCAGGTTGATGATGATGGTGTTGTGCTCTTGCTGAGAATAGGGTTCGTTAAATTCCTTACGAGGATAAAGCTTGGGAGGTTGGATGGGGCTTGGATGAGGGAGGCTGGTAGTGGATGTGATTAGCGTTGAGTGGAGTTTCAATATGTACCGGTCGCGGATAACTAACTTCACCCGGACTTGCCTAGGGCTTGCCTTTCAATGACAGTGACATGATTGTTGTGCTTGCTTGTCCCTGGGGCTACATGTTTACCAAGTTCGATTTACGCTGCTTGAGCAAGAGCACATTAGGATTTAGTTGTGGAGGTTGTTTCTTTCAAGCCTATCCCTCCTTGTTGGCTAATACTATTACGCGTTCTGCTGATGAAAGGGCTAGTTGGTAGGAAGGGAATACGACACAACATCAGCGGATATGGTATCTCTGCTGTAATAATCCCTGCCTAGGTGGGGTAGTATGGGGGTTGATAGGTGGTCCTGGGTGTTGAGCCCGAACAGTGTTTGCAGGAGCTGGATGATCTTGGAGGGGACCGTGCTGATGTTGTCATGTCATAGCCCACGGATGGTCGATGCCAGAACAACACTGGCCGGTGTTGGGGTTTGGTTGTGCTGCCCTGTACCCTGAGTTGGCTGGGGACATGAGGCCTGGTAGAGAGATTTGGGGCAAGGGTGGAAGGCATTCCAGTGGCCATCCATGAGCTACCATCGGGACAATGATGGTCTGAGCTGGGGTGGGTCGTGCTGCTCTGTAACCCAGTGTTGGGGGAAAGTGAGTCCTGGCAGAGTCCTGGCATGAGGACATGAGGGTGTTGGCAGGTTTTTGGTTGGTCTGTTGAATAGTACTCGGGTAGCTTGGTTTCGGCTCTTGATCAACCTCAGTGGTTCTCTTGTTCGGTTCTGTAGGCTCATGATCAACCTCAGTGGTTCTCTTGTTATTTGAGTATCATTTGGAATTCGGGTATTCGGTTTACATCTTGAATTTCGCATTAGTGTTTTGTCTAAGTTAGCTGTGGGGCCAAGTCCCACCCTCAATTTCTAACCCTAGATTGCAGAGATAGTTGGTCAGAAATGACGAATTTTGGCAGGTGGGACTTGGCTCCCGTTCTTGAAAAAAACTTTGCCAGTGGTCTTCTGACTCCTCTGAATGCTTCAAGATCTGTTTTAGCAGCCCAGGCTGGGTAATGGCCCCGGTAATCCTCATATGTGACGCTGGGCGTGGTTCCCACCATGTGCTGCTCCCCACAAATAGATTGGAGCTTTTGTTCCCATTAGGGTAAAAACAAAAGAAAAGAAACCATAGCCCTAGCCACAATAACCTCGAGATAGCGGGCACCAAGTCTGCCTGGGGAGGTAAATTAGGCTAGGTGGGGTTGAGCCGATGATCTCCTGAATGTCATTTTTGTGCCTTACCAACTGACCACGCCACTGACCTTGGCAGGTAAAGTGGGCTCTGTAGGATTGAAGCCATGACCTCAACGGCGGGTACTCTCGCCTCTACTGGAACTGACCAGGCCGCTGACCTTCAACGGCGGGTACTCTTGCCTCTACCGGGACGTAATTTATTTCTTTTTTGTTGGGAGAAAAAAAAAGTAAGAAAAAAGAAACATAATACAGGGAACAATATAGCCTGAATAGGAACTTGATTCATACACTGGGTATACCCGGTATAGGTATTGGGCATAAATGGTACATTGCTATCATGAAATGATAGCGATAAACACTGAGCGCCCACCCGGGCATGCGGGCCAAGGAGGCTATTAGCAGTGGGCCAGTGGCACTCCCTTTACCCCACTCCCCAGCGCCCCCCCCCCCTGCTATGCAATGGGTACCATGGATGTTCCCCGGCTAGCAGGCGGTGCCCACTGGAGAGTGAGGCTTTGAGGAATTGGCGCTGCTGACAGTACCCCCTTGAAAGGCTACTCGAACCCCAAGGGTAAGGCTTCCCCCTGCTGTCTATTCTCCCCCTTGAAAGTTGGGTATTTTGTGAGATACCCCTAAAACACAGGGGTAAGCCGAAATGCCCCCTGCCCCTGTAGCGGTCATGGCCAACTTTGCCATATGCCCTGGCCCTGGACTGCCGGGGCTGGCCTATTTCCTTTGCCAACTGCAGGTTCCGACGGCCAGAAATACCAGGGCAAATAGCCAAAGTTTCCAAGGGACCGGTAGTGGTATATGCAAAAGATGACAGGTCCAATTCGCAAGACTTAGTGGGGTATTTTGCAAAATTGCTCACCTGCCATATTAGGCGCATTTCGCCATACCCATGCCTTTCAGGGGTATTTAACGAAATACCACTACTTTCAGGAGCTTTTCAACAATTTTCCATTAAAAAAAAGGACAAAAAAGAAAGAAGAAACAACTCTGCAGCGGCCTAATGTTAGAGCGAGCCGTATTTAACGAAATACCCCAACTTTCGGGGGCAATTCAACAATTTCTCAACCCAAAAAAAAAAGAAGAAAAAAAACAACTTTTCAGCGGCCTAATATTAGAGCGAGCCGGCGAGTAGATCGGAACGGGAGGCCATTCGCCAAAGAAGGGCTTTGGGCGGGAGTTAGTTTGAACTGAAAGTTGTTCGCTCTGCTTCAGGCCAGATCGGTCGTCGTCTTGCTTGCTTGTTGTGAAGTCTTCTCCTTTCTGCTCTGTGGATATGGCGGCACTTACCGTGGAGAAGACGGCCGGCGGCCGGGAATACAAGGTGAAGGACCTTTCGCAGGCTGACTTCGGCCGCATGGAGATCGAGATCGCGGAGGTGGAAATGCCTGGTCTGATGGCTTCCCGCGAGGAGTTCGGCCCGAAGCAGCCCCTGAAGGGAGTGAAGATCACGGGATCGCTCCACATGACCGTCCAGACAGCCGTTTTGATCGAGACGCTCACTGCTTTGGGCGCACAAGTGCGCTGGTGTTCGTGTAACATCTTCTCTACTCAGGATCACGCGGCAGCTGCTATTGCCCGCGACAGCGCCGCCGTGTTCGCATGGAAGGGAGAGACGTTGGAAGAGTACTGGTGGTGCACAGAGCGCGCCATTGATTGGGGTAGTGACGGCGCGGGACCGGACATGATTGTGGACGACGGCGGCGACGTGACACTGCTGATTCACGAGGGAGTGAAGGCTGAGGAGCTGTACGAGAAGAATGGGACTCTGCCTGACCCGAGTTCCACTACCGTTGCCGAGTTCCGCATCGTTCTCTCGACGATCAGAGAGAGTATCATGAAGAATCCACGAAGATTCAGGGACATCGCCAAGAACATCAGCGGGGTGTCGGAAGAGACGACGACGGGCGTGAAGCGCCTCTACGCCATGGAGAGATCTTCGGAGTTGCTTTTCCCTGCGATCAACGTGAACGACTCAGTCACCAAGTGCAAGTTTGACAATCTGTACGGCTGCCGGCATTCTCTTCCGGATGGGCTGATGAGGGCCACTGATGTCATGATTGCAGGGAAAGTGGGGGTGGTGTGTGGCTATGGCGACGTCGGCAAGGGTTGCGCCGCCGCCTTGAAGAACGCCGGCGCGCGGGTCATCGTTACCGAGATCGACCCCATTTGTGCTCTGCAAGCGGTTATGGAGGGCTTCCAGGTTCTGACGCTAGAGGATTGCGTCGAGTACGGCGACATTTTCGTGACAACGACGGGCAACAAGGACATCATCATGCTGAAGCACATGATCCGGATGAAGAACAACGCCGTTGTGTGCAATATCGGTCACTTCGACAACGAGATCGACTTGGTGGGTCTTGAGAGTCACCCAGCAGCGAAGAAGACCACCATCAAGCCTCAGACGGACAGATGGGTGTTCTCCGAGACGGGCCGCGGGGTCATCTTGTTGGCAGAGGGAAGGCTGATGAATCTCGGCTGCGGCACTGGTCATCCCAGCTTCGTCATGTCCTGTTCCTTCACCAATCAGGTCATCGCGCAGCTAGAGTTGTGGACCGAGAGAGGCACGGGCAAGTACCAGAAGAAGGTCTATGTTCTGCCTAAGCATCTCGATGAGAAGGTTGCCGCTCTTCATCTGCCCAAGCTTGGCGTCAAGCTGACCAAACTTACGGAGGAGCAGGCAGCGTACATCAATGTCCCCGTTGATGGGCCCTTCAAGCCCGCCCATTATCGTTATTAATAGTAAGGTCTGTGCGCCTTGTGGCGAATTGGTAGGGGACGGAAAAAAAAAAAAAAAAAAAAAAAGAAATTGGTAGGACGAGGGGAGGGGGGTTAGAAACTTAAAGATAGGAGGGATCAACAAGAAAATCTTTGGCACTTAATTAATTAATTAATTAATTATTTATTGCGCTGTACTTCGGGCGGGATTTCAGTAGGACGACCTTGAAGTTGACTTTGGCATTTAATTAATTAATTAATTAATTAATTAGTTACTGCGCTGCACTTCGGGCGGGATTTCAGTAGGACGACCTTGAAGTTGACGTTGGTTTTCATCATCCGACTAAGTCTTACTTACCTTGGTGGTGTAGCTTTTTTTTTTTTTTTTTTTTTGTGTGTGTGTACCTTAGTGGGTGTTGTTATTGTTTTTCCTTGACTTTGTCAATCTTCTTTTTGTTTATTTGCTCCTCTGTCCTCCCCTGTGGGCGCGTGTCCATATTGCCTCCGGAGATCTACAGGCAGTCGGTAAGCAGCCGGGAAGGCAGTGAATGAATTGGGTGATACGAGGCAGTCTCGCGCTCTTGGACTCGTTGACATTCAGTTTTAGGGGGTTTTGTTTTTCTTTTTTTTTTTTTCGCCGCAACTTCGTGTTCATGGAGGTAGAGTAGCTGAGGTTATCTTTTCGATGGTTAACGGAAGGCAGACTGGCAGTCTTGAGCTTTGTTTTTTTTTTTTTTTTTTTTTTTTTTTTTTTCCCGCACGAATTTTTAGAATCGGCCCTCCTTACGAAGAGTGATATCATTGAGAGGAGCTGCTTCTCATAGATCGATGAGGATCGATCTGTCGCCGGCGGGCGAGAGGAATAAAGTATTATTTCTGTCAAGGACGAGGGAATAAGGGAGATCGGATATGGTTTAATTGGGCATAAGACTGTGGAGAGTTGTTATATGCCGTGGTTGGTTCCGTGACCTCCGTCGAAGTGCATTGTTTTTATCATCGGTTTTGTCGAAATGCACTTGTATTTTTGGATTTGTCGAAATGCAGTTCTATTTTTGGACTTGTCGAAATTCAGTTCTTTTTTTGGACTTGTCGAAATGCAGTTCTATTTTTGGATTTGTCGAAATGAATGTCTATTGTTGGCTTTGATGATGCCATGATGGTTAATGATGTCTTTCTCACACACCAGAAAAAACAAAAAGAAAGCCATTATCATCCAGCAGAAAGGACGTATGTTAGTACTACCGTCTTCACTCACCCCTGGTCTTACATAATAGCTGAATCTGGACTGGAAATTGCACCAAATACGGCTATAATGACCGGGCGTTGTTGTATTCGGGCGAAGACGGTACTACCGCGGTAGGTGGGACCTCGTCTTCTGTCAGGAGTTTGTGGTGCCATTCCTGTGGCCCACTCTCTTGACCTCGTCGCAATTCCCACAGTGCCCTCATCAGCCAAGCATCCGTATTCCGAAATTGCCCTCATCACCCAAGCATCCGTATTCCGGGACCACATGGTGGCAGTTTAAGAGTGGGTTCAGAGTAGAAACGTTTCTACTCGGATGAATTTGGGCGCTCCTCTAGTGGCCCGTACGTTTGCTAAAATGGTGGCTTGTTAACAGGCACGACTTTGGGAAGTACTGGTGGTTTAAGCCTGGGGTCGGAGTAGAAACGTTCCTGGTCGCATGAATTTGGGCGCTCCTGTAGTGGCCCGTACGTTTCCTAAAATGGTGGCTTGTTAAAGGGCACGACTTTTGGAAGTACTGGTGGTTTAAGCATGGGGTCAGAGAGGCGGTGGAAAAGGGGGTAAGCACTAAGTGCAGTGCTGGATCAGGTGAGAGGAGGAAGGGTAGGGTGGGGTGGGAGGCGGGGGGAGGGGAGAGGGGGGGCAGACTCGGCAGAGTATTACGTCTGGTGTCCCAAGGAGAGGGGGGGAAGGGAAGGGCCGGGCCGCTGGAGAAAGGCTAGGAAGCGTCGGGGCTCTTACAAGGCCTTTTGGCTACGATCAAGTGTAGTTTCTGCTCTGATCAGTTCAAAGGGGCGAAAAAAAAATTAAAAAAAATCGTACTTATGTCCCTGACCACTACTCTACTCCCCATTATATTCCTACAGCTAACTTTCTGTCCCTGGTCCAACCCCCATCTCTGCCTTGTCAATGTTTCAGGCATGATAGCATCACGACCAAGAGAGTTTCAATTAGCACAAGGATTAGAAATCGGGACCTAAATAGCAGGCAAGCACACGACATACATACATACATACATACATACATACATAACATACATACAAACATACATACATACAAACATACATACATACATACATACACATTACATACATATAGAACAGTCAAGACTTGAAAGGGTTCAATTATAGAACAGTCTAGACTTGAAAGGGTTCTGGACCCGGTTTCCAGCAGGTGTTGCTCCCCACCAATAGATGGAGCGGCCCGCCAGGCAAAGCCTCAATCCGGGTGGTTCTCTTACCACCACCAGGATAGAGGCCTTGCACAAGGGCCTTCATAAAAAAAAAAAAAGGAAAGGGTTCAATTATCTTTGCCCCTACTGGTAAGACATGGGGGGGGTTAGGGTTAGACTCCTTGGAGAACATGGTGCCAGCCCCTACTGGCAGGTTTTTTAAAGCCCTAGTAGGCACCGCTCCGCCAGTGTTAAGAAATTAGGGAAAAGTGGACGTTTTCCCAAACTCCTGAAAAATCGGAGGCCGGGCCTGATGACGGCTGCCATTGATAAATTTGATCGGAAGCCATAGTTTCGTTTCGGCCATCCGAAAAGGTCGGAGGCCCACTCGAGGCCCGCTATTTTCCCACACGGCAAAGGTTGTGCAAGCTGAACCTTTTACTCGTTTTACGAAAAAAAAAAAGCCTTCGAGGTGCTCTCTTTGGCAAGTTCAGCCCCTTCAGTGGGTAGCTTGAGACTCGGTGGAGGGTTAACCAATCAAAGTCCGCGGGCTCCAGAGGGTCTAAGGTTTCCAACTTAGACCATGAAGGATCATCTCCAAAAGTAGATATGGTAAGTAGAAGAGGAGGCGTCTAACTAGAAGCTACAAAAGCAAGAGATGCCAGGGCAAGCAGAGTCTGCCCCAATGGGGGGGAGGTCAACTGAACCACACAATCCTGGAAAGGCAGGAGAGCATTTGGTGACGTCCGCTGATTCCCTGGATCCTTTTTTTTTTTTTTTTTTTTTTTTTTTTTTTTTT